CTCTCTCTCTCTCTCTCTCTCTCTCTCTCTCTCTCTCTCTCTCTCTCTCTCTCTCTCTCTCTCTCTCTCTCTCTCTCTCTCTCTCTCTCCCAACCACGCCTGTGATATCCTTCTTCGCCGCGCCATTCGATGCAGCAACTGCCGACTACGAGAATTGGATGCTGTGCTCCCACAGTCCACACCGGCACCGGTCCTGTCCGGTCTGTAGGGGTGGCCATTTACCAAATGCAACGGCTGCTCCTCAACTCAAAATCTTATGCAACCCAAAATCTTATGACTGGCCTCGTGTTCCATTCTAAAGTAGTCTGTCTGCTCCAGTGGTGAGTATTTAGAACCTTGTGAGAACTGCACCTCATACTTGCTTCCTTCCTCCTCTTCTGTACTACTACGTAGTAAATGCATACAGATGAGCATCGTTAAGCGAACGGACAAAATATAACCTGAAGATCTGAGGAAAAATGAACAGCAATATACCTCCACCTTTCATACTGTGCCAGTGGCCCGTTATGCCTGCAGGTTCCCAATGACCGAGAAGAATAGCCCTCTAGTCCCAGGGCCAATCCAGATTTGTCACGGTCCTCCAAATGCAATCCCACTTACTCCATATCAACACTGAAGCAGCACACTGTAGAAAAATATGTTCGAGGGTTTCCCGAAACTTTCTACTAGGGAATGCATATACACAAGACTTACACCATGGTATTGCCAAGCCTCGTTGTTCCAGCGTCGAACGGTCAATCACCCAATCATTTGTGGGCAAACATCAGTGGAATATCTGCCACTGTAGAGAGGCAAATTTGGTTGGACGTTGCTTGAGAGTTCTAAAGAACTTGATGTGCTTAAACCACCAGTACCTGGCCCAGCTATCGAGTCCGAGCCTCGGCCGACCGGTACGCCGATCCGTGCCGAGGATCGGACTACCGGGCGCAGGCATCCCGAACGTTGGCCTGAAAGGTACGAAAAATACGGGAAAAAGAAAAACGAAAGGGTAAAAAAAAAACGAAAAAAAAAAAAGAAATAAGAAAAACCAACGGGTTCATTCCCGCTTTGCGTCCGAAACGCAAAGCGGGAATGAATGTTCCCGCTTTGGCAGAGAGAGAGAGAGAGAGAGAGGGGCGGCGACCTGCACGGAGGGTCGCGGCGAACTCGCCGCCCCGCTAAGCGGGAAGATGCATTCCCGTTTCGTGTTTCGAAACGAGAGAGAGAGAGAGAGAGAGAGAGAGAGAGAGAGAGAGAGAGAGAGAGAGAGAGAG